GGAGGAGAGGAGAGAACAAGTTCCATCAGGACAAAGCCCTGTGTCAGGTGCATCCCCAGAGTAGGTGCGTTATGCATTTAACAGCCTGGGGTGGAATAGATCAGGTATAGATGAGGGGTCTGCAAACTTTTTCTGTAAGGGGCCAAATGGTAAATGTTTTAGGCTTTGCAAGCCAATCTCTGTTGCCGTGTTTCAGTGAATTGGATTTAGAGCAGGCACTGGGTCAGACTTGATGTGGATTGGCCAGCCCTGGTGTAGATCACATGTGACACCTCAGCTGTCATGCACAGAACCCTGGCCATCCAGCAACACTTTTGGCATGGCCCCCCAGACCCCAGTGCTCACCGAGCACCTTCAGCCCACTCAGGTGGAGGGATCACTTGTGTTCAGGAGGGCCAGCCCAGGAGCCTGGCAGCCTCCCAAACCCTCCTCTCAAAAGCAGCTGTATTAATTTCCCGGCTGCCAGATACTAACCCTTCAGAAGTGTCCACCCTCTGTCAGCACCCTGGGTGCTGGGTACCACACCAGAGGTAGCACATGCACTATCCCAAGGCCGGAGGCTGTCCTGAGGCAGGCTGGCCCCAAGAGGCATGGGTCAGCTCTCTCCTCCCCTGTCCTAAAGGAGGGAGGTTCACTTCTTTGGTGAGAACAGTAAAAAGGAGGATTTCCCATCTGCTTGGGTGAAGGGATGCCATATTTACCAAGAAAAATCTCCAGACCGTGTCAAACTGAGTGTGAAGTTATGGTTGTGGGAAGGGTGGGCAGACTTGGAGGGAACCCCAGAAGAATGTTGTTGGCCCAGCCCTCTCCCAATCTGGGACCCACTATAGGCTCATGGAGGAGAGGGGCATGAAAGACTTCTGGATACCCTAGTCGGTGCGTGGGATCAGTTCAGAGCCCAGACCCCTTTCACAAATACCCTACCCTTCCTGGGCCACATATCGCTGCCAGCAACTGGACAGGGGCAACTAGGGCTTGGAAAGGGTCTGAAAACCATTGGCTGGGGCCAGACAGCATGGGGGTCTTGCGTGGGGCATCCTGGTACCCCCTACAAGGGACAAGGAGACAGTGTTGTAGGCCCTCTCTTGCCTAAACCGCTCCCCTCCCTGGGCGCTGCCTGCCCACCTGGGTAGCGTCCAGTCAGAGGGGGACCTGCTGGCCTCTAGAGCTCACCAAACCCCCCAGGGCCAGATGGGGCCCATCTGCTCTCTTCCGTCTCGGCACCTAGTCTGTCTGCCTCAGCTGCCAAATGTGTTAAGCCTTGGTCTGTAGCCACAAGATTGGGTGACACACAGGTGAGCTCGGCGGGAGCAAGTGACATCCTTCGTCAGGGCTCCCTCCTGGCATCGCCTGTGTCCCTGGACTAGAGGGGGCCCTGCCAGGTGACCCGCTTCAAGCCCCGCTGGGTGGAGCTCCCAGCCAGGAGAGCTCAGGGCTCTGGGTGCAAACTCTGTCCTGTGACTCTTGTCTTTTCAAGGACCTTACATTTAGACAGAGAGAAAGAAAAAGAAGCTCACGTTCCCACTTTCCGGAACTGACTGGTATTGTGATTTTATCACGTTGCTGCTGCTTTTTTTAAATAAAATTAAAGAATATTATAGATAAAGGTGAAGTCCTACTTGATCCCCCCCTCCATTGCTGGTTATATCCAGGTACCCTTTCTCCAGGCCACTTTCACCTGACTTTGATTTGGGTCCAACATTTGTTTTTAACCTGTCTTAACCCTTTTTAAGTGTACAGTTCAGTGGCATTAAGTATATTTCCATTGTTGTGAAACATCTCCAGAATTCTTTTCATCTTGCAAAAGTGAAGCTCTATACCCATCAAATAACAGCTCTCCTTCCTCCCGCTGCCCCCCAACCTGGGCAACCACCTTTCTACTTTCTGTCTCTATGCATTTGACTACTTGCAATGCCGCATGGGAGTGGAACCGTACTGTATTTGTTGTTTTGTGACCGACTTATTTCATGGAGCATAAATGTCTTCAGGGTTCATCCATGTGGTAGCAGGGGTCAGAATTTCCTTCCTTTTATGGCTGAATAATTTTCTGTTGCACATTCTGTTCAGCCGTTCAGCCGTCGATGGACATTTGGGTTCCTTCCACCTCCCAGCTACTGTGAATAATGCTGCCATGAACGTGGGTGTGCAATACCACTTTGAGACCCTGCTTTCTGTCTGGTGGGGAGACACCCAGGAATGGAAGTGCTTGGTCAGATGGTATTTCTATTTTAATGTGCTTACAGATCTCTCGAGGAGCCCCCATACTCTTTTCCTTAGTGCTACACCAATTTACATTTCCCCCAACAGCGAGCCAGGGTTTCAACCTCACGTCTTTGCCAACACTTGTTATTGCCTGGGTTTTTTAAGTTGTTTTTTTTTTTTTTAATAGTAGCCACCTTCATGCATGTAAAGTTCCATCTTCTCCATCTTCATTCGAATATCTAGTTCTTGAACACTTTTGCACCATTTTGTAATATCTACACACAATCTGTCACTTACCATTTGGCAGGTTGCTTTTTCCACTCAGTGTCTGATGTCTGTTGTCACTCCACGTTGACCCACATGGATTGGGTGAGTTGTAGTAGCTGCCGGAGGTCTTCCTGCGGGTGAGTGGCCCAGCTGTGGGAACCGTTCCCCCACCACTAGGCGTCTCTGTTGTCTCTGCCACAGGTCTTGAACTCATGGCTCCTGGGGGGTCTCTCTCGGCTGCGGTCTGAGCTCCTCCAGTGGAGCCCTTAGCCAGCACTCAGCCCAGCCGGTGGGGGGAAGGGGGGTGGCCTTTGGAATTTTGCCAGATTGTCCACAGCAGGGACCCAGTGATTGGTCCTAGCAGGACAGCCCAGGGCTGTCACCAGTAATCAGCGAGGTCTGAAACACACAGCCAAGATTAGCAACCTAAAAACAGTCGTTCTTACATAAGGTGGTGTGGGCAGCATCTCTCAGGATGCCTTGTGGTCTGAAGGGGGCAAGCGGTATGTGACTCAGGGGACTGAGCACCCGTCTTGTGCAATGCATCCAGCCCCCACACTGAGCCCTGCTCTGGCTTCCCACAAGTAGTCTGACTTATAGAACTGCAGTGTGGTGACCCAGAAATACCATGAGTGTGATCAGCTTGGCCAGGGTCATGCTGTGTGTGCCTGTGTGCACATGGCAGTGACCGTGAGGTCAGCTCTCACCTGCTTCTTTCTAGGAAGTAAGGCTGACTCTATGCATGGGGGACCCTCAGGGAGCTTTGGAAAGGTTCCTTCATTCACTTCACAGTAGGTGCAAAACACCTACTGTGTGCTCGGCACTGTTCCAAGCACTGGGGATACTGTAGTGAACAAGACAAGGCTCCTGCTCTCATGGAGTTTAGAACCCAGAAATGGAAATACAAAACATGTAAGCAAATGATAGATAGATAGATAGATAAGAAAATATTAGGTCCTGATAAGTCCTAGGGTAACATCTTAGAGAAAGGGTCAATAAACTTTCTCTGTAAAGGGCCACGTAGTACATACTTTAGGCTTTACAGCCCATGGTGTCTGTCACCTCTAGTCATCTCTACCATTGCAGGCTGAAAGCGGCCACAGACAATTTTAAGTGGGGTGTGGCCGTGTTCCAATAAAACTTTATTTACAAAAACAGGCTGTGGGCCAGATTTGACCCTCAGGCCATAGTTTGCCAACCGTGTACTTGAGATGGGGTTGTCAGAGACCCTTTCTGAAGGGAGATGAGAACCGAGAGCCCAGTCACAGGAAGGAGCCAGCATGGGACAGCCTAGTTCAGGCAAAACATGATGGCGCCCTGCTGTGGATCCAGCCGTGTAGCTGTGTGGTGAGAGGTGGGCAAACTCTGGCCAGTGGTGAGAGATAAAGATGGTGGAGCTTGCTCATGAGGTGACCGTTGGGGGTACAGGAAAGAGGAGGTTCAAGTATGAGTCCTAGATTTGGGGCTTGAACAAATGGGTGAATGGTGGTTCTGTTTATGGAAAAGAAGAACTGGAGGGAAAAGCTGGGTTTGTGTTAGGCATGTTGAATTTGAGGACCTTCTTAGAGGAGCAGGTAGGAAATCGCGTGGGCAGGTGGACGTCTGTGCTTAACAGCGCAGGAGAGAAGCCACAGCTGAAGGCTTGACCGGGGGAGTCAGCAGGATTTGGGTGGTCTTCAACTCCATGAGTCTGGAGGTCAAAGGCAGTGTGTGTGGACAGAACTGGATGAGATCTGGGCCACTGACATTTCGTGCTTGGCAGAGGAGGACAGAGTGGGCCTCACACTCCATGGAGGATGGCACTGTCTCCCAGGAAACAAGCTCTGGGCCCCCTACCTACAGAGCCTCAGTTTCCCCCCTGTCACCGGGGGATTCTGGGTTGGTGTGGGGACTAAATAAGATAGTCATGCTCGACATGGAGGAAGCAGTCAGCGCGTGGTACCTTTGATGCGGGCAGTGGTGACCACTGAGCCACGGGCCAAGGGAGCGGGCTGCAGGTCTGTGATGGTTTGGCTTGGTGGATGGTGGAGTCCGTGATGGGTTAGGGTTGCAGACACCTGGTGCCTGGCACTCGCTGTCCCTTCCACCTGGAGCAGGCCCAAAGTGCCAGGTCTCTGGTGCTCCTGGGAGCCCCTGATGGGAGTTGCGGCTCAGTATCCTTGCCCCTTGGGGTGGACAGCGTTGAGGCACGTTCTCCCCTGGCTCCCAAGGGTCCCCAGGGAATTGAGCCCCCACTGGCCACAGTGGTGGCCTGGCTCAGCCACACATCTTCACTGCTGCCTCCCTGTCCCCGGCTGGCTTCCACGTGCCCCTCACTGGGGACGGCCCCTTCATGTCTTGGCAGTTCCTTGTCTAAGAGTTGGCTCTGGCTTCTGGGGCAGCGAGTTTGTGCTGTTGGCTGGCCGTCTGGGCCCTGTGGTGGCCTGTCTGGCTGGGATGTGAGGGCCATGGGGTCTGGGGTCTGGCCCCCCAGCTCTGCCCCGCAAGCTGCTGCCTCCCTCACCTGCCGCCCCTCCCACAGCCAGGCCGCCGGAGAACATGGTGGATTACCTGGCCAACACCGAGATCAACAGCCAGCGCATCGCGGCCGTGGAGAGCTGCTTCGGGGCGTCAGGGCAGCCGCTGGCCCTGCCAGGCCGCGTGCTGCTGGGCGAGGGCATGCTGACCAAGGAGTGCCGCAAGAAGGCCAAGCCACGCATCTTCTTCCTCTTCAACGACATCCTGGTGTACGGCAGCATCGTGCTCCACAAGCGCAAGTACCGCAGCCAGCACATCATCCCGCTGGAGGAGGTGACGCTCGAGCCGCTGCCCGAGACCGCGCAGGCCAAGAACCGCTGGATGATCCGGACGGCCAAGAAGTCCTTCGTGGTGTCAGCGGCCTCCAGCACGGAGCGCCAGGAGTGGATCAGCCACATCGAGGAGTGTGTGCGGCGGCAGCTGCTGGCCACGGGCCGCCAGCCCAGCACGGAGCACGCGGCGCCCTGGATCCCCGACAAGGCCACGGACATCTGCATGCGCTGCACGCAGACGCGCTTCTCGGCCCTCACGCGGCGCCACCACTGCCGCAAGTGCGGCTTCGTAGTCTGTGCCGAGTGCTCCCGAGAGCGCTTCCTCCTGCCGCGCCTGTCGCCCAAGCCCCTGCGCGTCTGCAGCCTCTGCTACCGCCAGCTGGCCGCCCCGAAGAGGGAGGAGGAGGAGCCGCGCGCGGGGGCCCCCGGGCAGCCGGCCCACTCGGCCGGGGCGGGCTGCGGGGCATCCAGCGGGGACGAGGAGGACTCTGACGAGGACAAGGAGGGCAGTGGGGACGGCGACTGGCCCAGCCGTGTGGAATTCTACGCCTCGGGCACCTCCTGGTCAGCCTTCCACAGCTGACCGGGATCTGCGGCTGTGAGGGAGGGCCTCCCGGTCCCTCCTGCATCGGAGCAGACTCCATCGCCGGGCCCCTAGAGAGCAGAGTTCCCGCGCTGCACCCCGCCCCCAGGACCCTGCCCCACGGGTGGCAGGCACAGTGGGAGTGGCTCTTTCTCTCCAGACCCCAGTGCCTTTGTGCTGGACATTGGCATCCTTCTTTTCCACTTCAGGTAATTCTCTGTCCACTCAGCGAACTCAAAACACTCGGGCCTCTTAGGAACAAATAAATGCCTTTTTCTAAGCCCTAAGAGCTGTGGTCCCAGATGATGCCTTGAGCTAGACAACCCCAGGCACCTTTCGGGACCAGAGGGAAGATAGGACTGGAGTGAGGTCCCCTGAGGCCGTGCACCCCAGCACTTGCCCCCCAGACAAGTGACCCCCCCAGGGAAGACTGGGAGGACTGGAAACCAGATCTGCCCATGCACCTTGCTGACACTCACCTGCCTGGCTGGCTGGGCCTTCTCAGGCCAGGCATGGGAGCTCACCTTGAGCCAGACTAGAGTCTGCCATGCCGTGGGTGCCCACCAGGCGTGGGCCTGAAGCCTGGCTCCCCGGGGTCCAGAGCACGTGCCCGGGCCCCTGGCCCCATCTCCCCTCACTCCAGATGTCCAGGTGTCTGATGCCCCTTGGTCCTGTCCCCTGTGGCTGGGGAAAGCAGTGTTTTCTGTTAGGACCCTTCATTGCAAGTGACAGAAACCCTACCCAGACTGATTTAACAATAAAAAGAGCATTTATTAACTCACGTGGTCAAAAAGTTCAGGAATGACTTGCTTCAGACACAGCTCATCAGGGGCTCAAACCATGCACGGTGGCGGAAGTCCGCAACCATCCCCCACGCTGGGTGTCCTGGGAACATTGGCAGCACAGTGGGGTCAGACATTCATGCCACACCTGGGCTGCTTCCCGAGGACATGGCCCCGTCCACCTGGGTGGTCTGCCCATGGCCCAGCACGACATGGTCTGCCCATGGCAACACGGTCTCCTGATTTGCTTCTGCTCTGGTCTTTCCCTGTTGCCGGGCTGACCTTGGCCAGAGCCCACTGTGGTGGAGGGGGAGGTCACTGTCAGGTCCCAGTGACTCTGGGACCAGGAAAGCCTCCCCTAGCCCACATGACCCTCTGCCTAAAACCCCTTCATCAGGGCTCCAGACCTTGGGGGAAGAATCGCCCTCTGGCCAGTTCTCAAGTCCTCCTGTGCAGATAGAACCCTGAGGGTCTGGCTAGAGTACCACATCCGATTCAGCTGGTCGCTGGCTTCCAGGGGCAGCCAGGCTCCAGCCGGCTGTTGACAGGGAGCCACCCCTGTGAGGGAGGGTAGAAGAGGTAAAGTGCCAGGCACCCGGGCCTGCCTGTCACCTTCCTACACGGGCAGAGGGAGGCTGGCAGGGAGGGTCAGAGGTGCTTCCAAGAAGAACTTGTTGGTTTTCAAGCCCTTGGCCTCCCTGAGCCACACAAACTGGTCTAGGCTGGTTCTGCCTGGGCAGAGGGCTCAGGGCAGGACAGGTCATGGGATGAGGGGCAACTTCCTGAAGACGGATCAGATACCCTCTCACAGCCAGGCCAGGCAGCCCCATCCCTTCACCCCAGGGCCGGGGCTGGGGCAGGGAGTGCCCAGCTCCAACCACTGGCCTCCTGGTCACAGCCCCGCTCTCCTGGAGCCTCCCTTTCCTGGTGAAGGGGGAGTAGAAGCACCGGGCAGCTTTCATGTGGACAGGAAGGAGGACTGCCTACAGCGTGCAGGGCAGGTGGCCGAGAGCCATGCCCTCCTCACCAGGGCTGGGCAGCTTCTGGCTCAGCCCTTAGCCCAGGACCCTTAGGCCTGCTCCCCTAGTACCCCCACCTATTAGGGCCTGCAAGGACTCAGGGCTTGAGTGGCCGCAAGCTTTGGGGGGCCTTCATTCATGCAGACGCATTGCTGTGTGCCATGCCAGGTGCTGGGGACACAGCCGTGGGTGAGACACACAAGGTCCCCACTCTTAAGGTGTCTCGTCTGGCCGAGGAGCCAGGCTGGGACAGGTGGTGTCAGTCCTGGTGTGCTGTGACGGGGGCGGGGACTGAGGCATGACGTGGTGGGCAGGTGGACGGCAGCACTCCGCAGGGGTGAGCTTCCCGCATACGGTGAGAAAGAGTGAGCAATGCCAGCTAGAGAGGTGGCGCTCCAGACAGAGGGAATGGCAGATGCCAAGGCCCTGAGGAGAGGAGGTGTTCTGGAGCAGCATGGCTGGACTGAGGCCAGACGGGTGTTGGGGCCGGCTCAGATGAGCCAGGAGCCACTAGAACCTTCCACAGGGCGGCAAGTTGCAAGTCTGCTCTTTGCTTTCCGGAGCTTGACTGGTAGCTGTGTGCAGATGGCTGAGGCAGAGAGAGCCGCCTGACAGCCACCCCAGACTCCTAGGATCCCTGAGAGGGGAACCAGGCTCCACTAAGGCCGCATCTGCCTGCGGTGGTGGGGGGTGGACGGCAAGCTGTGGCTATCCCCACCTCCTCCTAAAGGGCTGGCCCCTCCCCTGTTCTGACTGACAGCAGATGGTGCACCAGGAAGCAAGGTAAATGCCTCGGGCCGAGCATTTGCCCTGGGCCAGTGTGGGGGGTCGGTGATGGTCAGCGCCCCGGCCACTGAAGCCCAGAGGGGAATGTGTTGGGAGGAAGTGGGACCTCCCAAAAAAGATGTGGGCCCGAGAAGGGAAGGTGCTGCCTCAGGAGACCCCATCTCTGACTCCTTTGGGTCTGGTCCCCTTTAGAGACAGCCTCGTCAGCCTGCCTTGGGTCATGGGTCAGGCCAAGCCCTGCCTCCAGCCGCCCCCCAGGCTGTTCCAAGAAGGGGCTGGCTGCCCGCCAGGCTGCCGGGGGGTTCTGCTTTCTCTCACCTACTTCCCCAGCAGGTGCGGTCCTGCGAGGCTCTGGAGCTGCCCCTAGTAGAGGCCACATAGCGGACCCTGGCCCTTGGCCACCACACCGCCCCCCTCGCATGGAGGAGGTCAGGAGTTCTCAGGGCTCAATCAATGCTTCTGCTCTTTGCGATGTTCCCTCTTCCCAGAATGAAGCTTGAGGTCTGGCTGCAGGGCTGGGTCTGCTGGGCCTATGTCCCAGCCCTCGCTCTCTCCTGGGGCTTTGCTTACAGGGACTGGCAAGGACCGGGAACCCACTGTCCTGCCAGCCAAGTGCTCCCTTCCACAGCCCAGGAATCCTTCCTCCCAGCCGTGCCTGGACTCCGTGTTCCTGCCAGAGGCTGATCCTTCAGCCCTGGGAGGGGCCTGCCCTGCCCTGCCCCTCCTCCTGGGAGATGGAGATGGAGACGGAGATGGGCCGGGGGAGGGTCCGAGGACCGGGCCTATGCATTTGAGGGGCACCCACCACCTCAGCATTGCCTGAAGTGCCCCTGTGGCATCAGCCCTGATGGAAGTCTCTCCAGGTGGAAAGTGAAGTCTCAGGGTGACCTCAGGGCAAAGGGGCCTCCCTTGAGAGTTTGACCTACCCCTGGGCAGGGCTGCAGTGGTCCTGCAGGACTCGGATACTGAGGGACGCCTCTGCAGGTCACTGATGCTGATGCTGAACCTGGCTGCCCCTTACTGAGACCCATCTGGCCGCCGGCGTCAGGAAGGCAGAGCCGGGTTACACAAGGCCATCCTGAGTCTGAAGGGGATGTGGCCTGAGTCCTGAGAGAGGGATAGACAAAGCCAGTGGCCAGAGCTCCCAGAATAGTTGTGTGCTCAGGGAGGGCTTCCTGGAGAAGGTGATGTTTGGTTGAGCCCCCGGAAGGCACGACTTTATCAGAGGGGACAGTGGTCTCCACCAGGACTGGGACTCTGGGTCTTTCGTTCACTATCCCCTCCTGCCCCTGACACCGAACATGTGTGGATTGAATAAATGAATCAAGTAAGAAATGAGGTTGGGGACCTGGGGGCAGAAGGGATAATAATGAAATGGCCATTGAGCCTCACCTCTAGAGCCTCCGGTCAAGGTGCTGGATGAGAACTGGTGGGCCTGGCCTCTTTCTGGAGGGTTGGGGAGCAGCCCCGTCCCCCAGACACTGAGTGCTGCCCTGTCAGCAGGGACAGGAAGCGTCCATCCCCCTCTCCCAGGCAGAGCTTTCTGGAGACGTGATGTCAGACCTGTTTGCAGGGGGCCATCATCCAGGTTGGCCTCAGAGGATGTCAGCTGGCCTGGCCTCTGCCCAGCCCCAGCCTGTTCTTGGGGACTCAGCCAGGAAGAGGCTGCAGGGGAAGTCAGGGCCCCTGCCGGGCTCTGCTACCAGGCAGGTGGGGAGTGACTGCAAGGCTGACCCAGTTCTCAGCCAGGATCCTGGGTTCTCAGGCCACTCTCACAAACCAAGGGAACCACTTCCGCTAGCCTGCCTCTGACCCAGGCCTGCAGGAAGTAACCCTCCCCAGGCCTGTGGGCCGGCGAGAGGCTGCCTCTGAGTCTGAGGCTTTTCACACCTGGCGCCAGCAGGCTCTGGGCTGCCCGAAGCCTCCCTCCTCAGTGCTTGCCAACTGTCTCCCTGCCTCTCTCTGCACCCAGGCTCCATCAGTGAAGGGGCCCACACCCTCCGCTTGTGTGCTCTGCCTTAGCCCTGAGCAGACTCAGTGAGAGACCTGTGCCCAGAGGACAGAACTTGGGCTGAGGGTCACAGGCCAGAGGAGGGATTCTGCCTCACTAAGCCAAACAGAGCCAGATCCTGGGCTTCTCTGGGCTACTTGCTGACTCTGAACCCAGCATCCGCCTTTGTGCATGAACTTTGGCCCTCCCTGTGGACCCCAGTCTGCTGCCACCTCCCCTCTGCAGCCTTCCTGGTTGCCCCAGGGCAGCATGGCTAGCCCATCCGTGCTCCCGGAGCACCTGCAGCCCCAGCTCTGGCTCCCACCCTCCGTCCTTCATGAAGTGCCTGAGTGGGCCCTCGAGTCTGGGCTGCTCGAGGGTAGGGGGCCGCTCAATCATCATTCACCTGCAGCCCCCACAACTCT